GGAGGAGAGCGTCGGTGGTCGGCCGCTCCCCCGCTCCGGACGCCGGAAGTACCAGTGGTCGAGGTGGGAAGAATGTACCACTGATGATACAGTCTCAGGTGAGATGAACTGAACAAGAAGGATCCCTGGAATTCAATCATCTCCATTGCTGAACAGCAAGCGTTTGCTCGACAGAAACGGTGCTTTTTTTTGCTGGAAATAACCAAGCATCCGCTATCCGTCTCCAACTGGAACCGATCTTATTGAATTACAAACATCGATCGTCTGTCGCCCACATAAACAAACAGAGAGCTATGTACTTCTGACGATTTACATCAGCGTCCGGGAGCATCATCGATTCCTCCAAGCGGCGACTCTCCCCCGACAGACTACCACTGACCCATTAGCGACGGAATGTCACCGATCCGTCATTGCCAGTGGATGCCGTGTAAGGCACGGAGACCGTCAGTCTGCTCAGCTCTGGATACTCGGACGCCTGTGAGGGCTGTGAGTCGGTCTCTCCAGCACCGCTGACAGCCCACAGACCGTCAACGCCGCGCTGTTCTGTCTTGGAGAGGCGGTGAAGGGACGCCGGACGACCGAGAGGCCGAGAGACAGCGAACGAGCCGTGTCGCGCGCCGGCCGGCCAGACGACAAATTGGTCGTCTGTCGGACGGACCAGGGACCACAGTCCACAGACCAGGGCCGGTCCCGGTCCCATGGAGGGCGTGGTCCGGCGCGGAGCAGGGACCTTGGCTCCAGGATGGACTGGATGGAATGGTGGAGACTGGTCAACGGAACTTCTGAGGGACAGACATCTTGGCTCACATTCCATTGTGCATTGTTATTGGATGGCGGTGGAAAAAGGTTGCGAATGATGAATCTGACGGCAAAGAACGACGAATGAGGGTGGGGCATTCATTACAAAAAAAAAGTGAGGAATAAGGTATTCAACCCGACTCACACGTGAAAGGAAGTTGTTGCACTAAACACCGGATGAAACGTCATGCTTACGACTGCCATAAGTTAGGCACAAAGTCAGACAGGAGTTATTCAGTCACTTCCTTCTCCAATCTTCACAGTCCTTAAGTGGTAAGTCGATGCCTAAATATTACTGCAATGGATACCAGTTGAATCAATCGTGTTATTTACATCCCTCCACTAAATAAGGTTGGTCATGGTCATTGGTCATTGCAATGACTGAAAATGACCGATTATCCATAGACGACGGCAGCATTCTGTAACGCGTTATGATATAAAATACCGAGGAAAGCCTCATCGGAAAATCTCTCATTGATACTTACGCGTCACATTGAATGCATCGTTCATGCCCCTCTTTACATCACAGGAAAGTAGCGATCCCATTAATCCGGCCATACCACTGTTGAGCTGTGTGACGGTGCCTTGTGAGGCGCCGCGCCGACTGCTGCGCCATACTGCCCAATTGGGGGCCAGGTGGACACCCCGGACTGACTCCAAACAGACCGACACGGCGGACCGCGACACTGAGCGACGTCGTGCAGCGTCCGCACGACTCCCCGGACCCCTGAGCGAGCGGGATTGTAAATGAACTCAGACGTTAGCGAGTTCAGAGCACAGGATGCAAATCAAGCGCCGGCAGTCCGTCAGATCATGTCGGCATTCGCGTCGGTGCAGCGCGGCGGACAAACGTGTGTTTTTATCGACCAAACAGGTGGCCGACAATAGGGGAAGGGAGGGGCAGGGACCGTGACGCCCTCATCGGCAGCACAGGGGAGACTGGGACGCATTATCGATTCAGCAGAGAGGGGCAATACCGAGCAGTGCTGCAGCCCTGACAGGACGTCCAATATCCAGTGAGCCGATCACCTCATTGCTCGTCTCATTTGCCTTCCACGGGCCCTGAAGGTCCAGCCTGCTTTTACCGTCCTCTGACACTGACACTGGACTGAAGGGATGGAGTCGCATTCCCTGAAATCTGGTCCCCACGGTGTGGGATGGACACAGCTCCACACCACTGACAGACATCTTGTCCTCGCTGACAGACCGACGAGGCCAGGTGATGCTGCATTGACAGCCCGAACCAATAACATAACTGTCGCTGAACCACCGATCAAACCACCGATCAGAACCACTGTATCGTCCGAACCACCGACCAAACCACCGCCATGAGACCGAACCACTGAACTGACCGAACCCATCGTCAAGCCACCGGGCTCTGATGGAGCGGCCGTCAATACGGTGCGCCCGTTCGTGACTTCATTTCCGACCCGTACGCAGGCGGCAATCACGGCTCATTGCGGCGCACTTCTCACATATTACCGGCCCGATATCAGGTGCACCATTATTTATGGAGAGTCACACAATTCATCAAAGACGCCGCAGAACACTGCTCGTCTACTGACGGCGCTGACAGCAGTGGTGTTTAACATGATGACCGCTCACACACCCAAAGTAATTCGGTATTCACAGCCGGCAATCAGGAGCAACCGGAACGGCTGGCATAGAATCGCCCGAATGGGAGTCACGGAATAGTGTCACGGAATGTCACGGAATATGCGTCTCGGGATAAGCGTAACCGAATGTTTCTGACATCCCCCAACTGACCCTGAAGAAAATATGAGACAAAACGAGCTATAAGAACATCTGAGGCGGAGCGACATATGAGGCAAATCGCACACATTTTGATGAAGGAGCTGCGAAACCACCAGCCGCTCCCATACCCGTTCTAAAATCGCCCTACCATGGTCCAGGATACCGAGCACACCTTGGCGACTCATCAGTCAAACGAAAGGCGTTTCGCTGACGGTCGCGCCCCTGACACCAGGTCAGCGGGCACTGCGCAGCTGTATGTCATCTCCATCCCGCCGCATACCGCGCACAGGACACCATGGTAACCGATGAGAGGCAGCCAGCCGGTCACTGGAGGACATCGGCCGACAGCTTACCGCTGAATCTGAGCCGGGGTTTCAGCCGCCATGACAAGCGGTCGCCAAGGGTGTCGGTTGGCGACACATGCAGATTGCAGGAGTCTCTCCGCTTACCGCAAAGCAGGCGTATTACAAAACATGAGCGGTAGAGCGTAAATGTGCTCCTGAATGAATGTGTAACGAAGCTGAACGACAGAGCTACTGAGCGGCCTTTGCATGAGTCGCTCACATGATCCTCCCAACATGCGCAGCTGCAGCACTAAACGACCCAAAAATTGCTTTATAGGACAATAGTAAAAATATAACCCCGCAGCAAACACAAAAAAAGAAATAAAATAAAATAAAATAAAATAAAATAACATAACATAAAATTAAATAAAACAAAATAAAATAAAATAAAATAAAATAAAAATAAAAAAGCAATGTCTGTTATTTTTATACCTAACTAGATCAAATAAAAATTTGGTTTTCTTGAACGGCTACATGCATACTGAAAGGCACTGAAAATTATGTAAATTATTCTCTTCGAATATGCAATGAGCGCAAATCGGTTTATGTAAAGCCAAGCATAACCAGCTCAGTAGTTCAGCGGTGACATCCTGTTCTGAATTTCTCCTCCCAGCTCCTCCCAATGGCTTCCCGAGTCCGACCGTCCAGTTAGCGTCGTCTGAACGGCCAGGGACTGTCTCAGAGGAAGCCATGCCGCCCCCCCCCCCCGGGGGGGTTAGGGGGCAGTTCTGGCTGGGGGGTACACCGCCGGCAACGCGGGGAGGAAGCACTTCTCTCCGGCCCCCCTGCCGACTCCGCCCCCTCCCCGGTGGGACGCCCCATAGTTGTGGGGCTTGTCAAATCGATGGCACGTGTGTGCCGCAGTGTTCCTGCCGCGTGACCTGGACAGTGGACGGTGGATAGGCTGGGATAGAGGGCAGCAGCGAGACCTACCCACTGCGAATGAAGCCTAATCAGAAAGTGAACATTGGACACTTGACAGATGCATTGGACAGATAACTCGGAAGCACTCACCGGAAACACAGACACATTGGAAATTGAGCGCGGTTAGCAATAGTAAACTGATCGATGTCTATCCAGCTATCCAGCGAACGTAAGTCCTTCCTTAGTCAAGTAGATAGCCAGCTTTCGACGATGTCCACCGCCTTCACATGTCCAATGTCCAGGAATATCATATGTCCGGAAATAACCACGCCTCGTCTTGCCCAGCAATAAAGGCGGATATTTTTAGCCTATCGTAGACCATCGACCTATGGCCCGGCCCCCGCCCCACCCGCCAGAAGCATGCGGTTCGCAATAATCTTTTTGTCACTCCTCCTTTTCAGCCGGGAGGGGGACGATGCACCTTCCTAGAAGTTGAGACGTGAGAGAGGAGATGATACAGAGGGAAGTCCGGCACGGTCCACAGTGTGTGATACCGGTCTCTTGCTGGGACTCGTCGGAACGACCAATGTTTCCAGGAGCAGTAAAACGGAACGGGTCTCAGGAGCGTTCATAGGCGCACAGAGAGAAAGGGAAGGGAAGAGGAGCGGAGGAACGGGTAGAGCAGGAGCTGAACTACACCGGAGGCGCGTTATACCGGGCGGGGTAACTCGGTAGAGTGATTGTCGTGCTGAGTCACAGACACAGAGGAACACTCGCTCGATAACACGACACAGCAGCTGGCGGGCGGATGGCCGTCCGTCGTCAGATGATGACCGTCAGTCACTGAGACACAAACGGTCAGAAAAGGCTGAACTCGGCAGATGGTGACAGGACGGACCAAGGCAGTAATATGCTGGACGGACCAGGTTTTTTTCTCAGTGTTGATAGAACCAGCGATTTTTATAGGGAATGTTACTTTTACATCAATTTATATGGCTTAAATTCAAATTAATTCAGTTCTACTTCTACCTTATTACGGAGACAGAGGAGTTGCACAATAAAAATAAAACAAGGCATAAGACAAGCCAAGATAAAGAGCTCTCACTGCTAATACCATCGACCGGCGCACACTGGGGACGACAGTGTCTCATCCGCCGGTGGGGTCGCCGCCCTCCCTCCCTCCCTCTCCCACTCCCTCCCTCTCCCTCCCGTCGGCGGGCGGGCCGCGGGGTGACTCACCTGGACCGAGCCGCGCCGTCCTAATCACCACTGGTGAGCCGCTCCTGCAGCAGTGCTTCAGCCAGGTGGTGATGTCCCGCCGGGTGTAGCCGCCCACCTTCTGTCCCTGCACCTCGACCAGCACCTCTCCGGGCTCCAGTCGGCCCGAGATGTAGTTGACCCGCTCGTGCTGGACGGCGCCCACACAGCCGAACTGGCCCTCCTCCGAGCCGCCGTCTATCTCGATGTAGAGCCGCTCCGGGTCGGCAGTCAGCACCGTCTCGCGCAGTACGACACTCCAGTGGGCTGGTTCGCCGCGGCGCGCGCCTCCCGAGAGCATTTCCACATGTCACTCGGCGGCCAGGAGCGCTGCGCGGTCGCCGCCGTCCGCTCAGTCGCGACCCATGTCGGCCCCGCCGGCGACCCCAACTAGCCAGCGGACGCTAGCCGCGCCGCCCGCGGCCACACGGCACTAAACGATCGGCGAGCGGTGACACCGCGACCGCCAGCAGCCTGCACACCGCGAGATCACAGCCTCCGGAAATCCGAGTCCGCCGCCTCCACCCCGCTTCGCCAACTCGCCAGACTGGCTGTCGTAAACAAATTTTGAAAGCGTCCCCGGCAGCGCGCATGCGCAGAGCACAGGTGTGCTACGCAGGTAACCGGGTCGGCCCCCGCCCGCCGGTCCACCTGCGGAGCGCCGCTCCCGACCGGCAGAGCCATCTGTCGGCGGAATACGTAAAGACGGTTTTACCAACTCCTCGCTGGTGGCAGCACTGTGCAGTAAGCGCTCAGCGCTCAGTGACCAGACAGACGGCTGGCCTGCCACCTCTTGGAAAAGTTCGTAACTAGTGAATTCACCGGGAACGATTCAGATTGAATGGAAATCGTCGGTGGTACAACAATATAAGCAAGGGCGGCGCCACCGTGGGGGCAGTGGGGGCAGACTGCCCCCACTGGCAGGAGGCCGTGGGGGCAAGACTATGTTTTTGCCCCCACAAAATTTGGCTGATGTTGAAAAGGGAACAGAAGACCGGTGCAACATTCATGATAGGCGGTTAATAACATAATAGTACGCCTGTTTTTGACCGTCCCCGTATCAAGTGCATCAGCAAAACGTTCGTTCTCGGACCGTCTGTCGCATATCTCCTACTCCCACTCATTCTTCTACTCTTTTTCATTTGCACCAGAAGGCTGCCCTCGAGCTTGACCTCGAGGAGGTTGAGAGGCAGCTTGTCAAAAGTCGGCCAGAGAAGAGATCTTTTGGGAAACCTTAGACTGAGACTGAGCTCAGGAAGGTATGACAAAATGTGATGGGTATGTATATCCGGGTTATCTGGAAATGTGTGTGGGTCGCCCTAATGGAGCTTATTCTGGTATCAATCGTGTGTGAGAGAATCGCACATATACATACGTACTACGGGAAAAAAGAGAACTAGGTACCTACTAACTATTGTTTGGAGGAATACACCATTTTACATCTCAACGAACAACATAACGTTTTCACAGGTTTGTGTCTCGCAATCTAGTTTTATAGTTTTATTTGCTCGCGACCTTTTAACCCGGCCGGGCCCGGGGGTAATCCCAACCACCGCAGCCCGGGGGTAGCCCCCCTCCCCCCACCTGTCTAACTCCGTAAATAAGGCAGCTACGTAAACAAAAATGGTACCAAATGAAAGATATCTACGAGAAGATTCTTAAAGCCCCTAAACCTTTTGACCTCAGGTAAATTTTTAAGGCCAGAAGTCAATGTCAAAGGCAAAAACCGGCACTTTTGTATAGTGGTCTCAAAGTACGTGTTCCAGACAGGGTTGTGCTTGACTCATGAGTCGAGTCAGAAATTTGACTCAACTCTGACTCAAATGAGTCAGATTTGAGTCGAGTCGAATAAAATGTTGAGCTGTTGAGTTGAGTCAGAGTTGAGTCGGACAAAAATATTAAGGCGTTGAGTTGAGTCAGAGTTGAGTCAGTAAAATAACTTTTGACATTGAGATGAGTCAAACATGTAGGATCATGATTCAGCTGACTCAACTTTCCAGAAACTATAGGTACATATAAGCTTTTCATTCCCCCCCCCCCCCCCGCTTAACAACTTAGCCCTGGCTCTGCTGCCGGATTTTTTCACCCCCCCCCCCCGCTCAACAACTTTATTATCTGAGTCAATTTTGAGTCAAGTAACTTGTCAACAAAAAATTTGAGTCAAGTTTGAGTCGACTCATATTTTCATCGAGCCGCTTATTTTTGGCAGGTGGTTGAAGTTCACGTCTGTGGCGCCGAAGTTTGCCTAGAGAACTCGGCCCTGAGACGTTATCAAGGAGACTATGTCCAATTTTTTTGCTTCAAAAAATGTTAAATTAATGGGTGATAAGGTACAGCAAATTTTGGCTTTCTATCCCTAAGCGTTCGTGAGGTATCTCAAATATTCGCCAGGGGGAGGCGAAAAACGCCCCCCCCCCCCCTCTCTTCCGCGCGGGCCCGCGAGGGTTAATGGTTCAGCTCAATACGTATGCATGAAACCTGAAACCATAATAGTTTTGAATAGCAACATCTAGGGGCAAGGTGCTCATGGATTTTGCAGATCGGCGTATCAGACAACAGTCGGGTCACCTCAATCTTGCCCCCACTGGCGAAAATTCGTGGCGCCGCCACTGAATATAAGTGACATATTTCTTCAGACAATGTGCATTGTGTGATATTATTTTCAATCACCGTTCAGCAAGTCACTGTAACATAGCAGCATAATGAGTAAACAAGAAAAGAGGAAACGGAAAATTTCACCGAAGAACTGCGGTGAGTACGAAGTTCGTGTTCCTTATAATTGCAATTTAATTCGCAAGTGCTGTCTGCTATAATAGTATGATGCAATGCAATATGATCTGATACACCGTTCACAGCAAATGAAGGCAATCTTAGTGTTGCCTGGCTGGCGGCCACTGGCGTGTACTTACCCCTCAAAGAATGTCGCTGGGTCTTTGCTTTCCGGTAACCATATTCCGGTAATCATTTCCGCTAACCATTTCCGGTAACCACGTGTATGAATACTCTTCAGTAATCATACACGTGCACGGTGCAGTCGCCGTTTCTTTTAATCGATTCGTAGTGCCGTTCTGTGCAAATAGGTCACTAGACTCGCACAGTCCATGGAGACCAGGCTCTAGAGATTCACCATCGCGAGAAGTGAGAACACCCGATGAAAATTTGTTCTCTTCAGCCGAGTTTCGAACGGTGTGAAACCGGAAACAGCTCTTCGCGTGCAAATTTTTTAGTCACCGGCTTTCGGAACCGGAAGTTCGAGGTGTTGTAAATGAAAGAGAAACATGCCAGGCGGCTTTTGGCTAATCGGCAATATGACCGATTAGCCAAAATGGATATCCATTCTGCCATTATTCAGGAGATAATAATGAAAGCTGGTACCCAAGTAATTAATCTACCAAATTCATGTCATAATGCAATGATATGAATTACCTACCTAAATGAAATTCGAGTCGCACCCATGGCTACCTTTTGACTTCCGAGCTATTTTCGTAGTTTGGCCTTTATTAGGCTTAGGAGCCAGGAGGTAAGATAGATTAGGTAACATTAGATCTATTAGATAACATGAATATATGGCTTTAAATAGGTATGTTTTCCTGCATATGTAGGCTTAGCCAAAATAGTGATGGCACCTCAAGAGTCAAATTCAAGGCAGCACACAAGGGGGGGGGGGCACACGGACCCGTGCCCCCTCCCCATTCGCATTGAGGGCCCATTTGAGGAAATGGGTCCCTAATATTTAGACCGATGCCTAAGTGGTGATGGCACCTCAAGAGCCAAGTTCGAGGCCGCACACAAGGGGGGCACACGGGCCCGTGCCCCCCCCCCCCTCCCCCCCTATCCGAATTGGGGGCCCATTTGAGACGGCCTTCGGCCGCCGCAAATGGTCCTCAAATGGGACCCTTATCTTAAGACCGCCTAAAAATGAGTTGACATGATAATTGAAAAGACCAGGACGGCCCATCTCGGGCCCCAGCAGGCCCATATGAGTCCATGTAGGGCAACTTTTTCGGCTGGGCCCTGAGGCCCTCCGGCATGGGGGCCCAGTTTGCAGGTTGTGCCACCCCCCCCCCCTTCAAAAATCCTGTGTTCGCGCCTTGCCAAATTGAACAACACACAGAAAAAATATTAACACCGTTAGCGGTGTAATTGCACAGTACATATCTGAGCACTTGAGGAAAGAAGAAAGTCCCTTCCCCGCTTAAATTACTCGCGCTTCCAAATGAACACCAGGAAGAAGGTTATAGAACACTGTTAGGAGGGTTGGGTGTTTTGCTACATGTAGTAAAACACCCAACCCTCCTAACAGTGTTCTATTACCTTCTTCCTGCCCCTGGTGTTCATTTGGAAGCGCGAGTAATTTAAGCGGGGAAGGGACTAAATTAACTTTCCTCAAGTGCTCAGATATGTACTGTGCAATTACACCGCTAACGGTGTCAATATTTTTCTGTGTGAATGAGCGCACCATGCTACTGCCAAACCCTACACACAGAAAAATATTAACACCGTTAGCGGTGTAATTGCACAGTACATATCTGAGCACTTAAAGGGACCCTCCCACCTTCAAAAAAGTTAATGAATTGGCATGAAAGTGATGTCGCTCGGTTCAGAAAGAGCAAAAATGAATATCTACCAAATTTCATCGAAAAATATTCACCGGTTTTCAAGATATTAGACTTTTACTTTTGTTTACTTTTTGGGATCTCCGCTGTTCCTAGCGACTTTATTTGAAAGTGCGGCATTTGTTGCGCGCAAAGCAGCATATACCACCGCGTGCTACCAAACGTTTTAGTAAAAGATTTAAAAATCGTTAGATCTCCGCTGACGTCACAAATTCTAAGGGGGCATACCAATGCATTAGCCCCTTAGAATCCGAAAACTGCAAGTTTGAAATTCCATATCTCCGAATTAAAGCATTTTTCGATGTTGTGAATGCCCAAACCGGTATTTTCAGGCCATGGCCACCAATTTGGCTATCTCAACTCAAAACTAATGTTAAGGTGGGAGGGTCCCTTTAAGGAAAGTTAATTTAGTCCCTTCCCCGCTTAAATGTGAATGAGCGCACCATGCTACTGCCAAACCCTACACACAGAAAAATATTGACACCGTTAGCGGTGTAATTGCTCAGTACATATCTGAGCACTTGAGGAAAGTTAATTTAGTCCCTTCCCCGCTTAAATTACTCGCGCTTCTAAATGAACACCAGGAAGAAGGTATTAGAACACTGTTAGGAGGGTTGGGTGTTTTACTACGTGTAGCAAAGCACCCAACCCTCCTAACAGTGTTCTATTACCTTTTTCCTGGTGTTCATTTAGAAGCGCGAGTAATTTCAGCGGGGAAGGGACTAAATTAACTTTCCTCAAGTGCTCAGATATGTACTGTGCAATTACACCGCTAACGGTGTTAATATTTTTCTGTGTGTACACACAGAAAAATATTAACACCGTTAGCGGTGTAATTGCACAGTACATATCTGAGCACTTGAGGAAAGTTAATTTAGTCCCTTCCCCGCTTAAATTACTCGCGCTTCCAAATGAACATCAGGAAGAAGGTAATAGAACACTGTTAGGAGGGTTGGGTGTTTTGCTACACACAGAAAAATATTGACACCGTTAGCGGTGTAATTGCACAGTACATATCTGAGCACTTGAGGAAAGTTAATTTAGTCCCTTCCCCGCTTAAATTACTCGCGCTTCTAAATGAACACCAGGAAGAAGGTAATAGAACACTGTTAGGAGGGTTGGGTGTTTTACTACATGTAGCAAAACACCCAACCCTCCTAACAGTGTTCTATTACCTTCTTCCTGGTGTTCATTTAGAAGCGCGAGTAATTTAAGCGGGGAAGGGACTAAATTAACTTTCCTCAAGTGCTCAGATATGTACTGTGCAATTACACCGCTAACGGTGTTAATATTTTTCTGTGTGTACATGTAGTAAAACACCCAACCCTCCTAACAGTGTTCTATTACCTTCTTCCTGGTGTTCATTTGGAAGCGCGAGTAATTTAAGCGGGGAAGGGACTAAATTAACTTCCCTCAAGTGCTCAGATATGTAGGTACTGTGCAATTACACCGCTAACGGTGTCAATATTTTTATGTGTGTATGGAAGGGCTTTGCTACGGATACCTACCAGACGACATGCATAAGGTTTTCCGTATTAATCAACGGACCTTGATCTTTGGGCTCAAATTTTGTAGTAAGTAACCCGGTTCCCATGGGGCAGTGGTCGAGGGTCAGAGCGGTCCCAGGCACCGGGGATCCAGATTCCAGAGCTGGGGACTGTGTGGGGGAGGCACAGTGTTCTGCTCACTTCGGGGGGGGGGGGCTGTACCCCAACAGTTTCGCTTTCTTTAAAAAGAAGAAGGGAAGAAGGGATGCCCCAATGTGGGGGTATTCGGGGCAAATGCCCCACCCCACCCACCCCCACCCCCACCCCCTTAACACCGCCCGGAATCGATGAAAATTTGCGTTTTTTTCGAGAATAAAACGAGAACTAAACAGCTGGTATTAGGAAAAATGTTTGTTTTTAACTGCACAACAGTGCTTAAATATTCGAAATCGAATGAGTTTTTTTTTAATTTGGAGAAACGTTTTTGGGCTATGCCCCCTCACGGCGTCCAAGACCGCCTTTCTGGATCCACAAGTACAAAAGGTCAGTTTTTGTTTCTTGTCGGTGTTTTTGGTAAATGCTCTTGCAACAGAACGATATTGCAGCCTTTCATGCAACAAATACCTATCCTTGACAAAAGGAAGCACAAGATTAAAACGCACAGTCAACATCAAGCACCCATTTAGGGTGCCTTGCAACTCAATCATGTCCAGGGCATTACAGAACCAAGATTCCTCCCTTCGAAAGTGTGTGAATGGTGGGTTGATTCGTAGGTTCTGTGTATTTGCATTGCGTCGAAAACGTATAGGTAGGTATTACAATACCTACGACAAGACACAAAGTCAACAGTCGGTTCGTCAGTTTCAAAAACGTCTTTGATCGAAATATTTTTTCAGAAGTGTGATTATCGTTTTGATCCGAAATTCAAATATATCATGTCATTTCTCCACATTTGAATGAAGCATAGTTTTTATATCGGCCTGTACAAAATATTTTCTGTAAGTTTAGCCATTTCCTTTAGCCCGCGTCGTTTGATGTGACAATGCCGGATGCCGTTGGGGAGACATCAGAGAGACGCCGGTCGACTGACCCGGCCGGATTCTGCGACACCCCTGCAGCCGACCTCTGAGTCGTCCCAGCTGCAAACGACGCAGGTCGGCCAGCCGGGCGGGCAGACATCGCGGTCCGGCCTGCGCAGCAGACTGGCCGCGCTCGTAAGGACGCCCATCGCAAATATGGTGACCGCTTCAAATGAACTGTTACGGACGGGATGTGGCGTTTTTATTTTATCTTAGTTGGCTCAAAGTAATAGCTATAAGCACGGTGGCACCTAAAGGAAAATTAAGTGATTATCTCTCTTACTATCTCTTACTATCTCTTTCGTCTTACGTTACTTCAATCACAGGCTATTCAATTCGGATCTATGAGTTGGGTGTCGTCATTTGCACCTCGCTCCTCTCATTTCCACTTTTTCCCGGTCTCTATTTGGTTGCGCCGCCGCGGTGTGCCATTCCGAGGAGTGTTGGTCCGCCACCACTGGCTGATGATGAATACCTACGCCCCTCCCTGCGCGCCGCCCGTCTATGCCGAGAGGAGAGGAGCGGGCGCCGTCCGTCCCCTGTCAGTGGGCAGGAGAGGGTCCGTTCGTCCCCCTAGGCCGCGTCCCACGAGATCCGGCTGGCTTCGCGCGCCTTTGACCAGTGCCGCCGGCCCCCATTCAGCGAAACCCAGCGAGTGATTCGGCCCGATACCGACGGGGCTTCGCCAGACGATGACTCCCAGAGGCATAGCTGCAGCTCCGCCTTGGGCGAAATCTGACTCACATTGTAGCATTATATATTATATAATGCAAATAATTACATAAATTATATGCATGATGTGCTCCCATCAGCCGCTGCAAACTCGACTCGGCCATGAAGGCGTCGCTCCAGCTGCATGCTACCGGCGGGAACCAAGACCAGGTTTGCTTTTGGTCTGCCTGTCTCTGTCTGACCATGTAACGGTGCGCGGCAACCGTGAACTTGCCCACAAATAGTTTCGGTGTTGGCTACACTGAAAAAATGTTTCACCTTTGAGTAGGTACCTACCTACCTTAATTTGATGAGCAGGAGGTAAGGAAGAGGAAGATATCGAGGAAAAGGAATTACATAGGCAGCGAACAGAGAGAAATATTGAAACACAAATGTGGTCACTGACACCAACATAGGCATTGAGGCACTCGAGCCACATCTTTTGGATAATAATGTAAAACAATGACACGCATGTCCACATCAATTCCGGCAGCTTGGATATAATGTAAATAGGATACCGATTGCCGGATGGTCTTGAGAAGCAGCTGATTGGCGCCGCGAACGCTGCGTTCTCGCTCCGCACGGCCCCGCGAGCCCTGCGGCACAGCATACCTTCAGGCGCCGACCACTCCTGCCATCTAGCGGACTGAAGCGTAATCACTCGGCGCTGCCGGGCTGGGGCCGGCCGTGGTCGGAGAAACACGATCTGCTAAACTGTTAGCAGCGGGGAGAGATGACTGAGGGTGCCGCGGAGGCTGGTATGCTTTGAACATCAATCGATTGGGGTGTGCTGGTGGTGTGTAGTGGAGGCCATTGCTGAGGCTGGTGGCAGGTCTACATTGATGTGTCCATTTCCAACCATAGACCTCTGTATACAGAGGTCTATGGTCCAACTCATTCGTGTTTCACTGCCGAGTGCAGGCCTTGGTCAGTTCATTTGGCATATTAAATCATGGCAAAGCCTCTTACGTAATGGCTCGTAAAGTAGATAAATACTATTTTATCAAGATACAATTTCACTTTGATGCTAAATCGATTTTTACAGCATACCTACGATTTTTTCTCGTATTAAAAGCTCAGCCTCTTTCAGTGCGACAATTCGTCAGTAACCAGTGAGTAGTGCTACGACAAATAATTTTGAACACACTAGGTGAAACTGCGGGGTGTTGTCGAGTGTGGTTGATATTTTAGTTTCTCATACCGCTCAGCAGAAGCGTGGGGAGTGGCAAATGCAGTAGGAGGCGTGACTTTTCCCAGCGTTATACCCCATTCAGCAGCATCGTACCGCACACATAGAAACAAAGGTTATCGTATTAAATGCATCTTTATCTACTTCACAAACGTTGCAGCGATTCACACGATCGACACACAGAATCACATTGTTCAATACTATGGGGAATAGGACTAACGGCTTCATGTAAACCTAAAAACGACATTGTCCAAACGTTATTCTAATCAAATGTAACCGTTCACAGTCAGTAACACCTCAAAGCAAAACGTCACATAGTTTATTTAGGCAAAATTGGTCAGTAGTACTCTCCTGCGTTCGCGCGCGTCCCGTGGCCTGACGACTGCCGCCCCCCATGTCCCAAAGCGAACCAGAGCTGTAAGCTGGAACAATATCTGAATAGCGGCGCAGTTTACCACGGTATCGAGCTGCCTGCGTGTCACACCTCGCGAATAACTTTACTTGTGGCGCTCACAAGCGCGGACGACCTTATAACACATTGATAACATGCGGCGGCATCCCATGCGCGTCCCTGAATGCGTCACCAACTCAAATGTTATGGACGGTCTTCCACCGAGCCTGCGTCGCCCCCCGCCGGCGTCTGTCAGGAGGGGGAGGGGGAGGGGAGCGCATCGGCCCGCCGTGGCGCTTTGACCTCACCCCTGACCCGGACCCCTCCCCGGCCGGTGCGGCGGCACGCGGCTCCAACCCCCTGGGCGGCCTCGCCAAACAGCGGGGAGCGGCTCTCACTTTGGCAACCCTTGTGCGTTTCAGACATTTCGTTTGACACCAAAACCGGTTATCGGGACATAAAAGCGGATCGTATTTGAAGCGTTTTAATGGCGATGAAACGAGCGTTTCGAGCGTGTGCTCCCGCCGTTCTGAGAAACCGTCTATTGTTCTTTTAGAAGGCTGGCAGCTTTAGTTTTGTAACTGTAGATCAAAGTACAATATTTTACGTATCTCCGGTGACACGAGGCTATATCTGGAAATAGTCTGCCGTCGTTATTGATAACAGGGCTTTGGCCTTACTGTCAAAGGCATATTTTTCCAACTGCGTGTGGCATCCATAGAAGCTGTGTCATTGAGAGATTATAAAATGAAATCATTTGAATCCATCCATACTTTGTTTCTTCTGATTTCTTTACCTCAAATCGAATTGAAAGGCTTGATGATAAACATCGCGCGTAGAAAAGAAGTCCGTGTGATGTAGTGTCACCAAAGTGTTCCATCTCAAACACGTTCAATGTCCACCCACATCATTTGTTAAGGTGTTTGATCAGTGGGTACTCCTGCGCTAGAGCTCGAATTTTGAAATGGATTGAAAGGAAGCCAAGATCGGACGTCCATCATTTTCATGATAGTTCTCGAATGGGCCTTGTCAAACGTAGCCAAAGTTGCCATGGGCTCTAACAAGCTGAATTTGTATTGTTGTGGGAAGGTTATCTCAAAAGTGGTACATTTATAAAATAAGCAGGGGTGTTAAAGTCTTTCAGCGAGATGCGCCAGACTTCCGAAAGGCAGACGTTCATATATTTTGCTGAGTGGAAAATGGGCGGAGGGCAATACAGCAATATAACTGCCACACTATTGAAGAGAAACCTTTAAATTTACATTACAATACGTTATGGATGGATGCGAGGAAAGGGAACGATGGAGAGATAACTCGAAAAGTCTGATGTCTCTGATCTCAATGTTGCATGATACGCCGTATGAAATCCGCTGCTGTCATTTATACCTATCTTAAACATTTGCGATGGACCAAACAATGACTTGGTTACCAATGGTCACCAATGCGATTGTACCAACACAATGTAACGAGGCCCCTTGGTGACATATCGTTATCAACGACGAACTCAAATATTCCTCGCTACTACATGCGTTCCTTCATCAACTTTGTGGACTTGACGAGGTCGCTCATTTTTCGACAAAGAGAGATTAAGATGAAAAGACCTTAATGTAAAACTAATAAGCGTTATGAATGTTTCAGGTCAGACTGCGCAGTGCTGGGGAAAGAAGAGAGTCTAATGCAGCTACGTATGTTCATAGATTGAGATGGACAGATGAATTTTAAGCTGTGCACAATATTTTAAGTTGACGTACAAGCGGACACTGCCAGCCGGCCGGACACTTCATGCAGCTGAAAAATACGTGTTTGTGGCCGCAGTCTGCGCTGGCTGCTGGCGCCAGACGCGGCTGCGGCCCTAAAACAGGTCTAATATAAAACTCGGAGAGCGGCGCGCGCGTCACTGTACCCGTACCTGGGACCTGGCGTCCCGCCGGCCGGCCTGTCCGCTTCGGCCCCCGGCCCGCCGGTCCGCCCGCCGCGGCAGACGCGCGCCGCCCGTATCACAACACCCCCTCGCAAAATGGGACTAGACTGAGTCGGAACGGACCCAGACTGAACCAGACCGGACCCAGACCGAGCCAGACCGGACCCAGACTGAGCCAGACCGGACCCAGACCGAGCCAGACCGGACCCAGACTGAGCCAGACCGGACCCAGACTGAGCCAGGCCCGACCCAGACCGAGTCGGACTGGATATGGGCCGGCCAGACCGGACCCAGACCGAGCCAGGGCGGACCCTGGTCGAGCCAGGCCGGACCCTGGCCGAGTGAAACTGGACCCAGACCGAGCCAGACCGGACCCAGACTGAGTCGGACTGGACCCAGACCGAGCCAGGCCGGACCCAGACTGAGTCGGACTGGACCCAGACCGAGTCAGGCCGGACCCTGGCCGAGGGAAACTGGACCCTGGCCGAGGAAAACTGGACCCGGACTGAGCCAGACCGGACCCAGACCGAGCCAGGCCGGACCCTGGCCGAGTGAAACTGGACCCGGACTGAGCCAGACCGGACCCAGGCCGAGCTGGACCGGACATGTACCGAACCGAACCGAACCCAGCCCCAGTTGGACTAGACTTGGATAGATTCGAATCAACCCGGACTAGATCGGAACTGGAAGGGTACAGACCAGACTCGGATCGATTTTAGATTAGATCCTGCCTCGACTCAGGCCAGATCCGGATCGGACCCAAACAGTACCCAGATCCAACCGTGACCGAATCCATGCAGAACCCGAACGAGATCTGGATCAGAAACATACCGGATCCAGACTGAGCCAAGACCAGACCGGACTGGATCTGAACCGAACGCGGATCGGTTCCGACAGATCTGGATCAAACTCGACCCAAAGATTAGATCAGATCAGACATGGACTAGACGGAGTACGGGCAGGACCTGAAATATCTGAGCCCATAACTTCGAATTTCGAACCGTTACTGAACCTAATTCGGACCGAATCCGAACAGGTTAGGACACAGCTGCGGTCCCTTAGCAGTGTCCAGCACCGCTTTTGGGGCAGCGAGCTGAATGTGCCCGTCCCACATCTAAATATTTTCATCCGCATCGTATAAAACAGTGCACAAATGACTACGTAGAAAGAAATATGTAACTTATCTAAACAAACGATGTCAATAACTAAATATTTCCTACAACGAACACTTTGTTGGCCTTTTGGTTATGACACCATGAATTGAAGTACGCCTGAAAGCTGAGAGTGTTGTGGCGTCTTGTGCGGGTCCTGGCGAGCCGATCCAGCGGACGGCGTTGCTGGCCGGTGGTCCCTCGCCCCGGCGCCGAGCTGCGGCGCTCCACGTCTTGTCTTCACCGCGCCACACCTCGCATCCACTGCGCCACAGCGCCCGCGCCGCGCCGCTGGAAGCCTCGCCACTCACTAGACGCGCGAGGCTACGTGACACTGTCTCGCGCCACTCTCGTCCTGGTCCGGTGTCGGCCGGCGGCGGCCAGTAAGCACAGGGCAGCAGTCAGCAGCGCCGAGGGCGCCGGCCGCGCCGCCCGGCTGCCGGCGGCGGCCGAGCCGTGGCCGCGCCGGTGCCGCCGCCGCCGCCGCGCCGCTCTGACCCGCACCTTGGCCGCCGGCGAGTGTCTCTGCAGCTGATTGAAGCGCACCGCCCAGGCGCCGGCGGAGGCGGGGGCGGCGGGCGGCGGCGGCGGCGGCGGCCCCGCCTGGCCCGGACAGGCGGCCGCCGCGCTGCACGTGTCCGCACTACACTCGGGCTGGTCGGGCCGCACACAGCACGAGTGGTAACAGCAGTCCGGGTCGCCGTACGTGGAGCCGGTGGTGAACGGTGGTATGTCCGGAATGTCGGGGTCTGCGGACAGAGAGCCGAGCTCAGCCGCAGGCACACAAACCGGTATAGAGGAGGACATACAGTGGCACGGTCACCGGCAATCAGCTGAGAACTTTGGTAAATTCACAATGCACAGAAGGCGTCTTTCCTCACAGCAAATCGACTGGCATTCCTGGTTTCCTGTTCCAGCTACTTCAAACTTCGTTAAGCTCCTTTTGTCAGTAAAGTATTTCGTAACTGGTGAATCATCTGATTGGTGTTCCGATAGTCAAATGATCAAAAGAAATTGGCAAGTTCTTTCCTTCGTGATTCAGGCTCCGTAGAATTCATCTGCACCATCATAAAACTCAAAGAACTCGTGAAGAGAGTTTAGAGTTACATCTGGCGAAACGACAAAAGCAGAAAGTGCAACAGTAAACGAGTGACCATGATAAGACTCAAAGAATCATGTGAGCGTTCTCCGCGGATGGATCAGGCTCTCGGGGTGGCACATTACCGTCGGTATGGGCTCTCGGGGTGGCACATTACCGTCGGTATGGGCTCTCGGGGTGGCACATTACCGTCGGTACGGGCTCTCGGGGTGGCACATTACCGTTGGTATGGGCTCTCGGGGTGGCACATTACCGTCGGGCTCGGTATGGGCTCTCGGGGTGGCACATTACCGTCGGTATGGGCTCTCGGGGTGGCACATTACCGTCGCAGAAGAAGGCGGGCTCGCCGGCGTACTGCGTGGCGGCCGATTTTCTCTCCGACGGCAGGAAGAATGGACAGACGCGCTGCACGCGCTGACAGTGGCTGCGACACGGCCGCAGCCGGCGGCCCTCGGACCCGCAGAACGGGACGTACATGGCGCACAGCCAGTCGTGGTACGCCTCCTGAAACCCACAGACATAACGTCAGACTCTGTCCATTGTTACACATGGCCGTACCCCATCAGTCAAACGGAGCGTCAAAGTCGCGGCAGGAAGGTTGTCATCGCATTCATAACAGTAAGTTGAGCCGTGGCGCTGGACTTATCGCTAAAACACGTGTATTGTCAGCTGCGGCGTTGGTTAAACAGAAAGGTAGTTATGTCCCAGGGTGTAATGTCCCGCGACCAGCGCTTGATGGAGCACTTGCATTACTTTTGTTTGTCCTATTCACTATCGCGCAAATTAAATGTTTATTAGGTACACATGTTTTTAGTGTTTCGTCTTTTAGTTGTTGGCAGGTTGCAAGACCACATAAAACAGCGGAATGGCCGTAGTAATATAATTGGGAGCACACTTTATGAGGCTCGCTTTCGTACCTTGACCTATGATATCGATAAAAGCAAAAAGGTTTCCAGCTGCGATACGGGACAGCTAAAGTTAATTGCGAGAAGCTCATTACGTCTTGCTCGCCTCCTGGATGGGGCCAGGAGTGCCGGAGTGGATGCTGCCGGAAGCACAACGATCACATATATTGCCACTGCAGCTGTTCATTTCGGTTTACGATAATGCAATGTCCAGCCACCGCACACTATACCTGGGCTGGCCTTGTTACCAGGCCTGGCAAAGAGCCAAGTAGCGCGGCCAAACGCCCTGGGAGTAAAGCTATGCCGCAATGCGGCCATGCGCTCGTATGTACAGTTTACACGTAAACAGGCTTAGCCAAAACTCTCACTGTCTGTGTGTGGCACTGCGTGTGAAAAACTGTCTCAAGGCCGGGAGTTTTAGTGCAGCCGATCTCCGTGAGCTAGACTGTACCACAGTACAGCTAACGCCGTGAGACAGACTGTGCCGCACTACAGCCAAACGCCGTAAGATAGACTGTGCCACAGTACATACAGCCGAGCGCCGTGATATAGACTGTGCCGCAGTACATCTAAACGCCGTGAGACAGACTGTGCCGCAGTACAGCCGAGCGCCGTGAGATAGACTGCGCCGCAGTACAGCCGAGCGCCGTGAGATAGACTGTGCCGCAGTACAGCCGAGCGCCGGGAGATAGACTGTGCCGCAATACAGCTAAACACCGTGAGATAGACTGTGCCGCAGTACAGCTAAACGCCGTGAGATAGACTGTGCCGCGATATAACTGAGCGCCGTAAGGTAGACTGTGCCGCAATACAGCTAAACGCCGTGAGATAGACTGTGCCGCAGTACAGCTAAACGCCGTAATGATGTAGATTATGCCGCAGTACAACCGAGCGCCGTTAGACTGTGCCGCACTACAGCTAAACGCCGTGGGATAGACTGTGCCGCGATATAACTGAGCGCCGTAAGGTAGACTGTGCCGCAATACAGCTAAACGCCGTGAGATAGACTGTGCCGCAGTACAGCTAAACGCCGTAATGATGTAGATTATGCTGCAGTACAACCGAGCGTCGTTAGACTGTGCCGCACTACAGCTAAACGCCGTGGGATAGACTGTGCCGTGGTTTAGCTGAGCGCTGTAAGGTAAACTGTGCCGCAATACAGCCGAGCGCCGTGAGATAGACTGTGCCGCAGTACAGCCGAGCGCCGGGAGATAGACTGTGCCGCAATACAGCTAAACACCGTGAGATAGACTGTGCCGCAGTACAGCTAAACGCCGTGAGATAGACTGTGCCGCGATATAACTGAGCGCCGTAAGGTAGACTGTGCCGCAATACAGCTAAACGCCGTGAGATAGACTGTGCCGCAGTACAGCTAAACGCCGTAATGATGTAGATAATGCCGCAGTACAACCGAGCGCCGTTAGACTGTGCCGCACTACAGCTAAACGCCGTGGGATAGACTGTGCCGTGGTTTAGCTGAGCGCTGTAAGGTAAACTGTGCCGCAATACAGCCGAACGCCGGGAGATAGACTGTGCCGCAGCACAGCCGAGCGCCGTAAGGTAGACTGTGCCGCAGCACAGCTTAACGCCGTGAGATAGAGTGTGCCGCAGTACAGTTAAATGTCGTAATATAGACTGTACCACAGTACGGCTAAACGCCGTTAGTTAGACTGTGCCTCAGTGCAGCTAAGCAGCGTGAGTTACACTATATATCGTTAGTCTAGTACAGAATGCGCTGACAAATCCGAGTAACATGCAAACTAACTCGACTTCACTAGACCAGGGTCCTAACCTGACCGGACTCCAATTGACCATGACCTGAGGTCAACACTCACATGGATCCCATCCTAACAAAAAAGATAGTATGTGACGCGACTCGGCAAGACAGGCGTTGATTTGGATAATCCGTTAAGTTGTCCATTCCGCAGGTAGGGCGTTGGACTCCCGGAAGTGAGAGCCCGGGTTCCAGACGTTCCGGCGCTCGATATTTGAGACTCCTAGCGGGGATGGTCAGTGGTTGGTGGGAGCAGCCGCGACCGATTGAAGTCGGTGAGTGCGACGGACCGTATCCGGCTTTGATGGTCACACTAAACTTTGACATCCTAATTATCCCAATTACCGGTACGTCTGAGCGGCCGGCAGGAGCAGGGCCTCGGCTAACATGTTAACTTCTGGGGCAAATGCCCCAGTAGAGTCGAGAAATGCCCCAGTAGTGGTCAGGCTTTGCCCAACCTCCACAAAATGAGAATATATCCGTATTAACGTACATTCTTTCATTCGGAAGCAGTTGAATACGTTTGTGGCAAGAAATCAGGGGCGGTGGAAGAGGGAGTGCACAGTGTGCAGCTGCACCCTCAATTTCCATCCAAATACATAGGCGTGCATTGGCAAACATATCTTTTTGCACCCCATAATCCATCTTCGTTCGAAAGAGCGTCAAAAATAATGACGAAATTACTTCGGCAACTTTTTTGGTCAGGTCAAAGGTCAGGTCATGGTGATGGCCAAATTTCGCCGATTTTCAGGTCGAATATAGACAGTTTACAAGATGCCGACGCATAACTCGGGAACCAATTAGAGCTACAGCACCGCGAAAAAGCGCATTTGATAGCCATATTAGCATGTTTTCTGGCTATTTCTCTTGGATCTGACCTAACGTCAACGGTTTTGCCTGCAAGGGGCAAAAACTACCAAAATAGACGATTTTTTCGGGAACAGTTCTTCTGCAATAACTTTTGACTCATGCCTTGCATGAGCTTTCTTTTACCGACATCGTGTTCCTCTCGTCAAGACGCATCAAATTAACTACAATTTGACCTTGACGGTCAACTTGAAAATTCGACCTCAGGTCAAGGTCATGAATATGATCTGACCGGAAATTGTCATGTTGCATATCAGTCGATCTGCATCGTCGAGCCAAACAATAACTAAGACATTTTCATCGCTCTAGCATGCCTCTTTCAAAAGTTATTTGCGAAAAACTGTTAGATACCATTCGTGAACTGAGATGACCTCTGGGGCATAAACAAGGGTCACGGGTGCTATTTTCATGCTCAGTGTGTCAAAGTCACGTACAGTGTTTTATAGTGTTTAGAATGACTTTCGTCCAAACGAGGTGGTTTTGAATTTTCTCCCATTGACTTATAATCGAGGTCGCAAAATTGAGCTGACCTTAGGTCACCGATATGAAAATCCCGAGATAAAAATTGTGTACATGCTGATTGTTGTTGCCCTTATCTTATCAATCGCTGAAAGTTTCAAAGCGATCGGTCACTCGGTGTAGCTACGGCATACATTGAAACATTTTATGAGGTGAGGTCACTTGAAGTGACCTGGTGACCTGATCTTGAATGACCTTGGTCTGAAATTTTTGCAACACGTGTAGAATTGATGGATGATGGAGCGCCGCCGTTTTTGAGATATCCGCGAAAAACCGCAGGAAAAACCGCTGGTGTTCAGCCCCCCCCCCCAGCAAAGAAAATTGTTACGCAGGTGATATCTATACAGGAAAAAATGTACTGGGTAGCCGCATCTTCACATGCACAGGATTCACGTTTAGAGAGGCTGTCAATATCGAGAGAAGGGAGTCCAAATGAGCAGTGTGAACAGTCGCGAAATCATGATACGTCCATACCTATCCGTAATATTAATCGATGAATTCGATCGTCACGTTCAATGCTAGAGGATTAAGGGCAAGGAAGAAACGTCGTGCAATATTTCGGCACTTGCACATTAACTATCCGAAGAGTATTATATCATTACAAGAAACGCATAGCTCAACGTCAGATGAAAAAACCTGGGCGCTAGAATGGGGCGGAGATGTTTACTTTAGTCATGGCAGAGAAAACGCAGGAGGCGTGGCCTTTCTTTTCCCCCCAAACCATTGTTTTGATGTTAAAATGTTATATTGTGGAGAAGAAGGGAGGCTGCTTATCCTCGAGGTCAATTCTGATACACGAGAGTTCATGCTTGTAGGGATTTATGCACCGTCCGCTAACAGAATGGAGGAAAAATGCAGATTCCTGAACAGGCTGGAAGGTCAGCTGCGCATGATACCAAATCACCACCTGGTTATATGCGGGGATATGAACATCAAATTAAACGCTCGGGACACAAGTTCCTCCTTTCAACCTACGCGCGCAAGTAACAAACTAGGAGCTATTATTGAGGAATTCGAATTAATAGATGCTTGGCGGCAGCGATATCCTGCGAAAAGAAAATACACTTGGAGGAAAAGTTCGCCATTGCAGCAATGCAGATTGGATTATATATTTATGAGTAAGAGCATGTTTAATGGTAAACAAACGAGCGTTCGAATAGACCCTGGAATATTAAGTGACCACAGCTTTGTATTTGCGGAGATAGATACCAGAAAGACGGTGAGAGGACCCGGCATTTGGAGATTTAACAACAGCTTATTAGACGAGGAGAAGTTTAGGTGTGAGATAAGGGAGGAGATAGATAGATGCATTAGACGGAGTAGTCCATATGATGGAGAGATTAACGTAGGTACAAAACTTGAAATCCTGTTAAGCAAATGTAGAATCATAGCCATAAAGAGGAATGTAGTGATTAAAAGGCGACAGTATGCGGAAGAGA